ATGGCACCCTAACCGAAATATCTATTCCAGCCTAATCCACGACTCTATTAAGGTTGACTTTCTTTATATTTAACATCGAGGTATAAACCCACAAGGACAAATTGAAATTTCTTAAATTATTTTTAATTATATTCTCTAATCCACATTTTCTATGTCATCCTTTGGCCTATTCTACTTTGAAGCTCTATAAAAATTATTTCATAGTACGAAAATCACAAAGAACATTTATAAATATGATATTTGCACTTTCTATAATAATTTTATATTATTTTATTTGTTGGGCCCAAAAAACAATTGAAAAAAAGGCAAAATTCCAAAGATACCTTTGATTTGGGGAAGAACAATTCTTATAAGCAATCCTAACGTACATACGATGGCCATCATTGACTGTTATTTGATTATTCCTTAGATTAGGTCATACCAAGACAACTTTTAAATTGAGAGAAACATATCAAGAAAATCAAAAACTTCACACGGTCGCCATTTCATGAAGAGATCGGAACATTACTTGTCCATCTAACCTTCATCTCCTTAATTATTATATTACACACAACAAAACTATGTCAACAAAACGAAAACTATGATTGCACATGCATATTATTAACCAAACTCACTTTCCCAGAAATTAAACTTGATCAAACATCCTTAGCCATGACCAAAAAATTCTTCTATTAAATTTTTCCCTCTTTCAAATTCCCCAACAATTAATCATATTCTCGAACACATCCATTNCAAAAAAAAAAAAAAAATGTCTCTCAGACGAAGACCATCATCATTATCATCATCAGTTTCCTCTCCCCCGTTCAACCCACCAAGCCCACCTCCTCCTCCGGCCCAATCCGCGCTTTCTCAGGCCCTACAGAGCTCGGCCCATTTAGCCAATCTCCTCCCCACTGGAACCCTCCTGGCCTTCCAGCTCCTGACCCCAATTTTCACCAATAACGGGTCCATGACCCTTATCCTTCTTTCCACCTTAGCCCTCTCTTGCTTCTTGGCCTCGTTCACGGACAGCGTTAAGGCGGCCGATGGCCGAGTTTATTACGGCTTCGCCACGTTTAAGGGCCTCTGGCTGTTTGATTACGTGGGTGCCGCCAATTCGGGCCTGGGCCGTGATTTGGGCGGGTACAGATTGGGATTTGTCGATTTTGTCCATGCTGTTTTGTCGGTCCTAGTGTTTGGCGCGGTGGCCCTCAGGGACAAGAACGTGGTGGGGTGTTTTTACCCAAGGCCCGGGATTGAGGCCCGGGAGGTTCTGGATATCGGGCCGCTTGGGATTGGGCTTGTTGCTTCCTTGTTGTTTGTGGTATTTCCTAGTAGGAGGCATGGGATTGGTTATCCTGNTTTTAGGGTAGTTTGTGTTGACTGTTGTGTGTATTTGAATTTTGGATAATTGTATTCTTATTTCTTAATGTGTATTTGGATTTTGGTGATCGACTGATATCGTGTTGCATGAATTTGAAATGGGATAGTTTAGGTTTTGCTTGTCAAACAATAATGTGTTATGCAATTTACTAGCTAATTTCGTAATAATAATAATATAATAATTAGATAAAACATTTAATTTTCATATTTTTTTTCATTTCCTTTAAGAGTGAATTACAATGTAGAGTAAATCTGACATGTAATTTATTTATTTATTTATTATTATTTTTTTCGATTACAATAACATTAACAATCAACAGAGATTTAAGCTTCAACCTTTACAAAAAGAGGTGATAGAAAATACGGGAGACAGTCCTTCCACAAGAAGGGTTCCGTCGCCGACAAGGCCCGCTTAGCTAACTGGTGGGCAACAATATTATGATTCCGCTTGATTTATTTGGATTTGGTTATGGCAATTGTATTAATTTATGCAAGGCATATCCCCCTATATATAATTCAGAAAGTATTGAGTTTAAGTGATAGCTTCGCAGGCTTCATAATTTTATGTGGGAAAACATTATGCTTTGTAATATGACTTGAATAGAAACTACTAATTTTTATACTACATAGTTAGATTTGGATTGCCATATATACACATACTAGTACGAATCCCGTGCGATGCACGGATAAGAGATACATATTAATATTTATATTAAACGATGAGATATAGGTTAATAACATAACATGTAGAGAATTAAAGTAAAACACAACCACACGTATATCTATATATTTGAAAAAAAAATAAAAAAAAAAAATAACAGTTGCTTTTGAAAATCTATATTGTCAACATCTTGCTGCGTAGCAAAATTACAGAAGTCAAAATAAAATGTTGGGAAATCGGTAGAATACTCCAACACTTTGCAGTAATAGATTGTTATTTACCAATGTTACTTTCTACCATCCTCGAACTTGTCACTCATCTTCGTTATGTTAACATCACGAATTAGTACAGTTATGCGGTCACCCTGTAAAATTGCAATACAAAAATAATATTTTTGTCAAAAAATATTAAAATAATAAATATTGACAATTACTACTATCACTATCGTGGAAAACTATTTCTAAATAACTTCTGTAAGAGGCATCAAACATCGTCTTAAAGATGCTGCTGGAAGTTTCAAGATGACCTTCGTATTTCATTTAAAATCCTTGATTAGATCAAGGGTTGATGCATGCCTTTATTCCGAATGTGTGAGTTTATGATTCGTATTGGATTTCATTTGACCAGGAATGTGAGTTTATTTATAGATGAAATTTATGTGCATATATATGCACTTATTTTCTAAGTTTTAAAATGTGGATTTATATAATATAAGCTTATTACTTGATTTGATTTTTTTTGGCGATTTTGAGAGAAATCGGATCATATCCCAAGAATGTCCTAAGACTTGATAATGGGGAAATATTGTTGTTTTTTCACGTGCTTTTAAAAAAATATTTTAAAATGTGTGAAATCACATTCAGACATTTGACACATACATACACTTAGACGCATTCCTAAAAGTGGATTTAAATCCGTTAATATTAATCTATCACAAAGGCGAGAAAATATCTCATTTCTTGCATGAACAATCATAACATGTAAAAAGCACACCAAAATGAAGTTTGAAATACTTCAAAACACTTTAAGGAAATAAAAAGTTCCATGTCCTTGTTTTTACATAAACTTGATAGAGCTTGAATTAATGAACTATGGTAAAAGGATATGATGGGCATTTGCAAGCAAGAGTCTTCTACTTCATAACTCCATAAATTTTCAGCATTCAAGCTAACGTGAGAAAAAGGGAGAAAACTTTTGACATATATTGAGATATTCCTTGAACCAATGAAACCAAAGAAACGAAAAAACTATCCCAATAATAGAAAAACATAAATACAAAATTTCACATGATCACCAACCTCCTCTAATAGCTCTTCTATATGTTCACTAAAATTACTCCAATTATCCAACGTGAAAAAATAAAAATAAAAATAAAAAATAAAAAATAAAAATGACAAGCCTTCTAAACAATTTTAAGAGAATTGAGATAAAGATGAAAGTCTCCAAATAGAAATTTAACAATTGAACAATGAAAGGATATTCTATGGCTTGATAAAGTGTAGGTGCACACACATGATTTAATCATCCTGTAAATTGCATATCCAATATAAGCTTCAATATTAGGCTGTACAATTTGTTTTCCATAAGCATATACACTTCTGCTTACGTTGTATACAAAATTTCACTCAATAAAGAATCAATTCTAACCATGGCAGCTTACCAAACAATACTGACAGTAAATTGGAGTCCCAGGCAGCAATGATAGGAAACTAAACATATTAGTGAGACTTACACTTACATGCCCATAAAGAATTGACCCTTGACCCTACCAACCGTTACACAATTTCACTTTCGTGTTCGCATGTGAACATGGATTTTCATAACAACATGGCTTGAACATTGAGAAAAAGTTCATTATATAAATATGATGGATCTCATAAGTTGTTGTTTCCATGAGGCACGCAAAGGGAGGGTGAATTTAAATCCCTAAGCAAGATCACTTAGCTACTTAGCTGCTATGAGTGTGTCAAGGGGAAAAAAAATATATTTGAACACATCCTATAGAATACGAAGCGGTTCGACACATTGAAGTATATTTAAGACAAAACAGGGTATTCAAACCTAATATGCATTTTTCACATTGAAATGATAATCCTAAAGTTACCTCCAAGTTCAACTTTGGAAGATAGCTAATTAGCAGTTCGCTGAAGAACACCTGTGTTAGATGTAGTGTCTGCCACGGGATGAGATTCAATGTCCCCATAAAGAACTTGCTTTAATTCTCAGATGAGCTTTCCCAACTCCATCACCTACACACCTACACAGTATCACAACTAAAATGAGAAAGCACAAAAAAATTGTAGTGATGATCACTATACTAATAACTCTGCATAATCACAATTCACACAATTGTCAATAAGAAAACAATAGGCCTAACAGAAACTATAATAAGGTCGAAAGAAAAAAAAAAATATGCGGACATCAATTGTCCACCACAGGACAATTTCTTTCCAATTCCAATATTCTAATTTTGTCACAATGTCAGCTACAAACACTACCAAATCACTAAAACCCATAAAATAACGTTGGAATGCTACCTTCTCATCGCGCTTGAGAGTCGAGCGCTCCGCCAACGGCAAAGATGAGTAGATCCCGCGTCTATCTGAACAAATTAGCAGGAGTCTTGTTAATTGTCTCATTTTCCAAAATTTTCCAGCCTTTTATCTGTAAATAATGTAGATAGTAAGCAAAAGTTTTAAAAGGCCCAATTCATTCAATAAATCATTCTACTTTAAAAGGCCCAAGTATTGAAAATCTTCTTTACACATAAATCTATATTGTTTGGGTTTGAATCCTTTTCACATGGAGTTCCTAACAAAGAGCTACTACTAAGAAATTTCCAGCTTAAGAAAATGAAGCTGCATTGCATTACCTACTGTTGTTCCTACCATCTACTACAATGACATGTATAAAAAAATGTGATTTTCAAATTTATTTTGCCAAATATTCTAGTAATATTTTATAATGTCATAATTGTTCAACAAAAATAAAATACATAAAAGGAGAAGGCAAGAAGCAAAACCTGACATTCAATTAAGGTGCCACCAGATTGCACCAAGTCATCAACGATAACAACATGGCAGCCCGCAGGGTTACCCTCCTTTATTCTGACTATTCTCTTGTCTCCTTCCCGAACCTTGTTGCAGATGACCTACAACAATTATCGTGATCCAAAAAATTCCCCAAAATCAAAATTCAAAAGCAACATATAAAGAAAATTAATGCTATATATAACATAAAAAAATACAAACCATAGGAAAATGATCGAACAGCTTGTGGAATCTTTTCCAAGCTCCGTCATAAAAAAATGCAATGATGATCTATATAAATTTAGAAGTTAGCCTAACAAATTTGATAAAGATCAAATGTCCTCATTTGGGACTAACATCGGGACCTCTTGAAGGACAACGGTATATGTTTCATAGGATATGCGCAATCACCTTATCTAACTCTGGAAGTTGCTGAAGCCGTTGCTTCAAAAGTGGGATTCCACTCTCAAACACAGGCAATACAGTATCATTGAAGTAAAATCTTTCCTGTAGAAATTAGCAGATGGAAAATACATTTCTTAAGGCATCATGGAAGTAAAATCTTCCATTTGTGAATAAAAACCATGAAACTTTAATAGCAATTTAGGACAAAAGAAGTTAAAGTAATAAACAAAAAAAAAATCTTTTTTCATTTGTAACAGCAAATGCTAGGTGAATAAAATCGATTGTAGCTGGATGAGGTCTGAATGAGTTGCGACCTTGCATGCCAAATCTTCAGCTTCCACACAATGGAAAAGTATCACTTGCTTCTTTGGTCTCTCCATCTTCTTGTCGCACTCCCAGACTCGCTGCTATGGGTTAAAGAGTGCATATATATCATATCAGTAGCTTATTAATTTCAACAGAACATAAGCACAGAAAAATTAATAAAAAATAGATATACTAAATCAAAATGTATGAACATTATACACCATTCTTGGTAAACAATGGCAAACTAATGCTTCAAGTTCATTAAAAATTAGATTGCAGATTGGCAGATTAAGGAAACAGAAGAAATGCACACATAAACAAATAGAGATATGAACTTCTATTTATTTAGGAGTTCTACCATCAACCAAAAATATGGATAGGCATTAGGCAATTAACCTTCCAAATCCAGATCAAATTCCAGAGTAAGTTATATATGAGCCTGAAAATTAACAAATCCAATTTCTGGTCAAAATTGCAAAAAATCCTAAAATTATCTTTTGTCGTCCATCATAACACATCAGATCAGTGGGTATAGAAACCCAAACCACATGTCACAGACCACATCAAATTTTCAATTATGGGTATAGAAACCAAAACCCTCAACAGTAAAGCAACCAAAGGAAGGAGTATAAAAGTTATACCTCTATATGAGACTTTAAAAAATCCAGAAGCCGGCTACGGAAAACCTTCCTTAACCACAAATTTTCGCTAAGAGATTGAGACGTGCTCTTGCTTTGGGTTGCTTCAGCATTCAATAAGAGAGGACGGGGCGGCGGCGTGAGGTGAGGTCCAGGCGGAGGTAGAGGCAAGGTCGAGGCGGAGACATCTAACACTTTTCCTCTCCGGCCGGCGGCGTGAACTGGAGTTGAGATGAAGAAAGAGCGGACGGGGCTGCGGAGTGTGAGAAGTTGAAAAAAATTAGAGAAAAGAAATAAAAACCCTATCAGTGTACGTCGTAAGAGTACAAGTCCCTTTGTTGATTTATCAAAATGCCCTCATATCTCCATGTCGGGGAGGATGGCGGCGGCGAGCTCGTCCAAGTCGACAGCGCCTTTTTCATTGGCGTCCATGTTGTCGAGGAGGGCGTGGATCTGGTCGCCGGAGGACTTGAGGCCGAGAGACCAGAGGAGGGCGGCGAGCTCGAGCTGGGTGAGGCTACCGTCGAACCGCTTGAAGTAGTTGTAGTGCTGACGGATATGCTTTGCCATCGCGATTTGGGCCGGAAATATTTGGGGATAAAAAGAGGAAGCTTAGAGAGATAAGAGTGATAGTTTTTTTTGGAAGAGATAATCAAACGATATACTAAAATAAATCTGCACTCAATCTTTCCTAAAATTTAGCTCCCAAAATTTTTAAGAAAATCTTATTTTTAAATTTTTTAAAAATTCAAACAGATTTGGTAGAGGCGGGATATTTCAATTTTTGCCAAAATATTTGCCCAGTAATTCTAAAACTTTAGGCGGGAATTAAAATCTTTTTTTTTTGCTGATTTTTTGGTTGATTTTTTCAAACAACTATCATTCCCTCTTTATATATTAATAGATTTAATATATTTAAACTATTCCATATAGATTTATTTATTAACTTCTTTCTATAATGTACATATTTTTTTATTTTCTAAATTTTGTGCTTTGTCCATATTATTCTCTTTTGTGTTTTAAATAAAAGTAATAATGTATAAAAATTAGTTTTTAGAATTTAAAAATATTATTGTTAATTCACGTAGTTCTATATTATAATTTGTAAATATATCATTCCTTATTTATTTCCAACTTCAACCAAATATATACATTTTTTTTCTTTTATTTTTTGTTGTACATTTAATTATTTTATCAAACACCCGTGTAGTACATAGACATTGTACTAGTAGTTATATTAAAGTTGTACTATAAACTAATTGAGAAAATGGGTTGGGGGAGTAAAGTGCGCAACGTGTGTAAAACATAATATTATAAGTGAAAACGACAATTAATAAATTTATCTTTGAGGAGTGTGATAGGTCGAAAAATGTGCACGTTTTATATATATATTTTTTCTTTTTTTTTTCTTAAAAGGAGGAGCTATAGTGTTTTCACTTGCCCTCTTCGGTGACTCAAACCAATGACCTATCGGTCATAGATGAAGCGTTTTACCACTAAACTGCGCTTCTTTGTCTTTATATATTTAATGGTGTATTTTTATGCAATTAATTTATACGCACATTTATATTTTTTTTACTTATTTATTATTTAGATGGATTTATTTGATTTGAGGTTTTTTGTGTTATTTTCAGTATTTTAAGAGTATTTTGTGGACGACGAGACATTAAACGGAAGTTCCAGCGACAGGGTGTGGGGATGCCCCATACCAGCCCAATTTCATATCATATTTGGGTTCAATCTCATTATTATCAAGGAAAAATCTATATATATATAATTGCTAGCAAATGCATTAAATAAAACATATTTAATTATACCTACGTGACATTCCCGCCAAAAGACGTTACTTTTCAATTTATTACATTTTTATTTTTTTATTTCACAAAATATACATGTCTTTGGTATTAATATTTGATTGTGTGAAAATTGGCAATAACTTATTTACAGTGTTCAATATCGTAGCAATTATTGTAGACCTTACAATTGTTTGATTTGACAAAATCTTTTAGTCAATTCAAATANAAAAAACCCTTGGTCGATACTTTCCCCCAAATCCGATCAGCACTTCCTCCAAATCAGATCGCTCCGCCTTCCCTGGTGACGGAGATGTCACGGCCCATGGTCGTCTTTGACCACCCGTTCCCCTCTTGGTGACGCGCGCCCCTGAGATGGCCATGGAAGCTCAGCGGTCGGAGGTCCTTTCAATTGGTTGCAGACGGGGCTACGGTTGGTGGTGACAACCCTCCTGGTCGGAGCCTGGCCGGCGATTCCCTCAATTGCCGGTGGGAGCTGTTCAGTGGAGGTAAGCCATTCAACCCGCTCTTACTGCTCTCATAGCCGCTACTGGATAAATTGTTGGAGGAAGGTTCTTAGATACAAACTTTTCGAAGCGAAGTTCAGTCAAGAATAAGGGAAAGGCTATTTTGTCTGCGGTTGATGGGTCGCGCCTTTTCGGTGGGGCTTCGCCGTTCTGGCGGTGTCCGACCTCTGGACGTTGGTGTTCTATGGCCGTTTTGGATGGTGCGTGTGCTGATGGGTGGTGCGGGACTCCGGTGTTGCGGGAGTCCTGTTGCAGCGCTTGGGGTTGAGGGGACGAGCCACTCTTACCCTCCCCTGTGCGGCTAGTGGTGTTAGGCGGCGGGGGGATGGGTTCTCTCGAGCTCGGCTAGTGGTGTTTGACGAGTTCGGGTAGGTCTGGTGTGGGGGCTGGCCGTTGCTCTCTTGGTTGGGAACGGGTCGATTTGGGGATTGGTTTTGGGGTTCGGTTAATCTACTGTATAGGCGTTATCGCAGTTTCGGTAGCCGTTGCTCGAGCCTGGAATCTTTCTTGTGTCGATCGTTCACTGCGGGTCTGGCTCTTTCGCTTTTGCTAGGGAAGGGCTACGTTTTGTTTTCTTTTAATTTGTTGCTTGAGTTTGTGTTAGTTTTGTGTTTTTGGTCTGGGTTCTTTACCTGAGTGCTTTATGTCTCGTCTTTTTTGTTTGGGCTGTTGGCCTCTGTGTGAGCGGGAGCAATTGATTTTCCTGTGGGAACCAGCTCCTGTCTCTATTCTCTTGTGGGGAGCTTTTCGTTGTAGTTTTTCTGTGCGTTTGTTGTGTGGTTGTTTTGAGTGCCTTGTTTTGGTTTCTAGCGATTGCTAGTGTCGGGCTTCTAGGCGGTCGTCAGACCTGTCCTCCCATTTTATTCAGCTTTGGGCTGCGCTCCGAGTTGTACCTTTGCACATTTGTGCGTTTGTTATATAAATTTTCTATCGTTTCGACCAAAAAAAATTCAAATATGCGAACAAAAGTTTTGAAACATAAGGTCAACATTTGTAAAACGTATACTAAATTTCTCAAAAAATATTGTTTTAGCACTCGATCTGTTAATATTTAACTACATTTGTNATTTTTCATATAAAAACTAAACAATAAAATATTCGCAATGCAGATATTTTATAAAAAAAAAAAATACAGAGCTTTATATTATGGTAGATCTTATTTGTAATCGACGGATCTGAACTGGTATAAATCGGTAATAATTTTCTAAAATACAGTCGATTTGGCTATTTATTAATAAAAAAATATATGTTTTTCAAGTTTATAAATCTTGATAGATCTTTGTGTGATCAACCGATTTGACCCAAATACTATAACTCAGTAAGTCGGTTTTAAAAACTCTGATCGATTTTGCTCTTCGATCTCTCTCGCCTGAAAACTAAAATTTTAGGTGTTTTTTTTAGGGACAAATCGCTGGTAAAACATTAATTTTTCCTTCATTCTAGGCGAAAAATCTTTTAAGAAAAGTTGAGAAATACGGTTTGAGACGGAAGAAAGAAAGATACAGGGAGATGGAGAGAGAGAGAAAGACAACGAGAAAACTCGAGAGAGAAGTGGCTAAGATTTGCCCAAAAGTATTAAGGTTCATGTTAATTTTATACCGCGTCTGACACATAAGTACAATACGTGTTCATTTGATATTTCAGTGTCACATATTACAACACATAAGTTCAAACTCAATCCACAAACATAACTTCATAAGGGCCTAAAAACATCCAAATTGGGCTGGATAAAAACTTTAAATACTGGCCCAAATTTTATTTATCTATTTATTATTTATTTTTTAAATACAGCCCGATTTTTAATTGTCCAAACGTTGTGTTTTTAAAAGTTTGGGCTCATGTTGTGTACAAATTGTTATATTTTACCGAGTATCGAATCAAGTATTCGTTTCCCGGGTCGATCTCTCAAGGAAGGCGGTTCAGAATTTGGCTTCGGTATTGATTTCACACAAAAAGAAATAAAATCCTAAGCACTCTAATCAAATAAGGGGGTTTGAATAATTATTAACTAATAAATAAAATAAACAATAATCTACCAAAAAATATAAACGAAACAATGATAAAGAAGCTAGGGAGTCGGGAACAATTAACTCAAGTTCTATTCGCACACCGGGACATAAATCATTCTATTTCAGATTGACGCTCTCGCTTAAACATCTAGCGGTTCGCTCCCAATAACTCTTCGTAACAAGGGATTGAACATAGGCGAACAAACTCGAGCATACGACGCAGTCCAATTATCCCAATCCCAACAACTTTTCGTAACAAGGGACAGGTCATCAACAAGCACGCATTTCAATCCAAAACTAATAGACTATTCAATTACGAAATCATCTACCTCATGCGAGCCTAGGTCTACGACTTCTCCCCTTTCGGTTCTAAAAGTCGCTAATTAACTAGAAGGTGATTAATCAACTAATCATATAGAATTGACAAACCCTAACTCGACAAATTAACATTCAATCGTTTCAATCACAAAATCGAAGTGTCACTCTTCGATTATATCAATGAATTAACCTAAGTGTCACTCTTAGGTTATCAAATTATCAAGCAAGAATTCATCAATTCTTAATCAATTCAACTCGCACAAGAATGAACAAATTAAAGCCCAACAATTACGAATTAAACAAGAACAATCATCCCTTATCCCTAGCAATAGGAATTAGCCACAAAAAATAAGTTCAACACAATAAATCATTTCTCCAAATTCAACCATTTTCATGAATTAACAAGAAGAAAAACTTACAATTAATCTCAATCCAAGTGTTGAATCCAAAATACAAGCTTAATCCCTAAAATGGAAAAGAAAGAAAAAATAAACAAAAATGGAGAAGAAAGATGGAGAAGAGGAGAAGAGAAGAAGAAGAAGAAGGGAAGGAGAAAGAAAGAAAAGAAGAAAAAATGGAGAAAAGAAGGATAAGAGAAGAAGAATATGAAGGAAAATGAATGGGGAAGGCGATTTTCGGACCTAGGGTTCCTCGCCCTTCCAGTTGGAAGTGAAAGAATGGAGAAGAAAACGAGTTTTTGGGGTTTTTATACCATTCTGAGACTTGCAGAGGGCCTTAGCGGCGCTAAGGAATGAAAGCTGTTAGCCTCTGGCGTCGCTAACATTTGATAACGCCGCTAAGACCAGCCTTAGCGCCGCTAAGGGGCCTGGGCAGCGCGACTTTGCATTTCAGGCTCGTCCGAACTCGGAATTAAGTTCCGTTTTTTCCTACGCGTCGCTATAGAACCCCTCTATTCAATGATGATTGAATGGTAAAATTATTCTTGAAATCCAATTCTCTCAAAGCTTATGACTAGCAGGTGATGACTTCCGTGTGTGACTTCACATATTGGGCCCGTCCGGACTCGTCCGAACTCAAAATCGAATTCCGCTTTTTTCTACTTGTAGCCAACGAACCCATCTATCTAACCATGATTTCCTGGCCTGTTTTCGAGCTAAATTTATTCCTCACAGGCTTCTGACCTGCACACCAAAAAACAAGAAGAAAAACAGGAAAAACATACGAAAAACACAAAAGAACCAAAATAAAGGGAAACACGCGATAATCAACAAAATGAACTACAAACCAACAGAAATATCTAAAACGCGGAAAAAGAACGACAAAACAATATGGAAAATGTAACAAAAATGGGACAAACAGCTCACATGTTTTAAATAAATGGCACAAATAAATTTAATGTAATATATAGTACAAACAATTATATTTAGTAATAAAATTGACCTCAAACTATTTGTAGTACAAAAAATATTAATTTACACAAGTAAAATCATTCCATGTATAAGTTTAGTACACATAATAGTGATTGTTATATTACAAAATTTCATGTTTTTGTATTTGCTCCATTTAATTTTATCACACATTTTTAAAATAGTAAGTTTGACCTTGCGGAAAAGGTAGATGTTGTATTTGAAATATTCAAAAATAAATTGTAGTGCATAATTTAATTATATTAATTTTATTATTGTAGTTACATTATCGATTGTGTCTACGCTAACACCTTCGTTCCAAATACCGAATTTTGTCATTCAAGAAGCTGGTATATTTTTTTTATTGTTGTATATCTTATAGCATTATTAAAATCATTGAATTATAACAAATATTGTTATTATTATGTATTTTTTATATTGACTATTAGTTAATTTTGTAATGTTAGGTGTTTCATTCTAAAATTATCAACGTTCGTCTCAATATAGTTACATAACTCACATCACAAATGCTTATTGGAGCAGTTTACTGCCTTTAATTGATCTTACAAAGAACAATGATGGAAATGCGCCTTCAACATCTTTGTTAAACAACGTTAGCAACTATAATTTTAAATTTATTATCAAAATGTCAAATTTCTTTTTGCGGTAGCAAATTTATTTTTTTAATCATGTATATTTAACTTTTGTTTTTCAGTTATTGTTTTATAATAATATTTTTTTTCAGTTCCATCATTAAACTTGCCGCGTGGAAAAAACGTAGGCGGTCGTCCCAGACTTGCATTACCTCTCCTCACAAATAGTAACTCTAAATTCTTTATCATTTTTGTCTAATTTATCTTTTTGGACGTTAAAAGAATTACTAAATTTAGCTTTTCTATATTTCGAAGATATTTTTTTGTTATTTTTTTAATAATAATTTTATTTTGTACAGTTTCATCATTAAATTTGGCCCGTCGAAAAACGTAGTTGGTCGTCCGAGCCATCCATCACTATTGTTTATAATTTTTATTATTTTTTCCTCTATCATATTGCTTTTCGTGCAAATGCACGGGGTGATACTAGTTACATACATAAACCCCCTTGTATACATATTTACATAAATATAGTCTGAGCAAACATTTATCAAAATAGGATTAGGATCTATTTTTTATTTCAATATTACGAAATAATGATTTATATCTGTTTATCTCTCTCCATAATCTTGATCACGGCAATATGTCGTCGAAATCAACGCACTAGAAATCGAAGGTTAAAAAAAAAAGGAATAAATATGGCGATTTTGATACCTATAATTCAGGTAATTACAAATTCAAAATCCGAAACGGGATTTACAGTTCAAAGAGTTCTTGCGGTCCGAAAAAAAAAACACACTGATAAGCTGGAAAAAAGAAAAGAAAATCGATAGTGTTGTTTCTTAAAAAAGATCGTGAAATAGCCGTTGAGCCAAAATATATGTTTAGATATACTGTATATATACATAAGATAAACATGATCTGACATTTTTCTATTATTAACAGTATAGTTATACATAAGATAAATAACATATAAACAATTTAGAAAGGGATTAAAAACATAATACACATTTTCTATTATTAACTGTATAGTTATACATAAGATAAACAACATATAAACAATTCTGAAAGGGATTAAAACATAATACACAGGGCCGGTGTTGTCGAGGAGGTAGCGGACGAAGGGGTCCGGGAGCTCGTGGATTAGGGTTTTGATAGATGAGGATTTGAATTTGGGGTACCATTCTTGGATCTGGCATCTGTTTACGTCTTCCATCTTCATCTTGGATGAACTGAATCGATTGAGAAAGAGATTTCTTTCTGAAAGAGATTTCTTCATCTGTCAGCACAACTTGGAGCGCTTCCCGCCGATCATAAATTTCTTGATGATTTTTGTTGTTGCTGAGGGGTTCTTCCTCTTCTCGCACACCAGTGCGGCAAAAAAAGTTCTGCCCGACGAGCCACGCATCAAAGAGAGAAAGAGAGAGAGAGAAGGGTTGCGAGAAAGTTTGAGTGAGAGAAAGAGGGAGAGAGAGAGAGAGGGTGGGATATATCTCAATCGGTATTTGTGATGAAAAGTTTATCATCTCGTATTTTTGATATTATGTGTCAAATCATTAATAGGGGGAGTGATTTTCTCTATTATCAATGTTGTTAGATTAATTGGGCCAAAGTTAGTGGACTGCTGATTGGGGCGTATCATGATTTCTTCATATTATTAATATTATTTAACAAAACAATAGTAAAGGGAGTAAATTTCTCTAAGAAAATGAGAAATTTTCTTACACTAGAATTGGGCCCAACTCAAAATTTAGGAAATTAGAATTGTTTGGGTAACCAAGTCATTTTTCAAAAGAAAAAAAATTAGAGAAATTTACTCCTACTGCAACTATAAATCTTATTATTAAGTACGAAAATTCCTTTAATTAATATAATCTTTAACAAAAAGTAACTTACCAGAAATTGACATATAATTAATTCCTTCAACTGCATATATCGTTCTCTCTCTCTCTCTTGAACTTTCTGTATCCTTGCTCTCTTTCTTCCTTCCTATCGATTTCTTCACGCGGCGGCTCAAATCACACAAGGGCAAGACGGAATCGGTGGCCATGTATCAATTAATTTCCTCTATTTTTTTTTTTTTTGAATTTTTTTTCTCAATTCGTAGACCACCCACCCCCACCACCCTTTTGACGGCGGCGGCTGAGAAGGTCGTGACCGGGTAAGAGTCGCGATTGGAGGTTTGTATGGCGGGTAACGAAGGCGAATCGGAGATCAGCGATTCTGATGGCTCTCAGCGACCCAACTCCTCTCTTTACTTGATATAGTTCATATCTTAATTCAAATACGAAATAGGAACTAAAATCAATCAATCCATTAATCGGCTTCGAGCAATGCTATGATTAACCCGTGCAACATCAAAGATGCACCAGGGCTCGTTGAGGAGATGAAGGGGTGACGTTGAGAGTGGTGAGGTCAATCAGTCCCGTTTCATAATTATTTATAAGTTGTTTATCTTATGTATAACTACATTCGATTTGGATTTTGCATTCATTCATGTATTATGTTAATCCCGTTTTAGAATTGTTTATATGTTGTTTATCTTATGTATAACTATACGGTTAATAATAGAGAGCTGTCAGATCATATTTATTTGATGTATATATACAATATATCTAAACATATATTTAGTGGTTGCACGATTTTGTTTTTCAAAATTCAAGATATTGATTAACCGTTTAAAAATTTAAAATCGTGAATCCTTTAATTCTATGTATCAGATTTGCTACTTTTTTTTTATTGAATTTCCGTTTAGTTGCGGTTTATCCGCCATGAGAAATATGCAGAGAGAGAAAATGATCAGCATGTGAGAAAGATCTCGTAGATATGAAAAATAAATTTACATCCAATCTCATTTTGATAAAAGTTCATATGGAACGTAAATGCGTAAATATTTCTTATATGGAGTCTATATATGTAAATTTCCCAATAGAGAAAATCACTCCCCCTATTAATGATTTGACACATAATATACGCAACACATTTGGAAGAGCAGGACTTTATAGGGAAAATAAAGCCGCCAGGATATATATGGGCGAGAGAAGAGAAAAGAAGAGAGGAAAAAAAAAGAGTCGTAAGCTTCTAAAGCAGAGGGGAGTGAATTATTACGGAGGAGAACAAAACCGAAAAGAGAATTCATGCACAGTTACGCGGACAAGGGGAGTGAATTATTACGGAGGGAAGCCGCATCCGCACATTTGTCTCTGAATTGAAGGATCTTTATTTATTGTTGATTAATTAAGATCTCATATTTATTTTGTTGATGAGTTGATTCATGCTATTTATTTTTAACGTTTATTAATTGTGGATGCTTGATTTAGTTTGGTCAACTACGTTAAATATTCATAATTTAATTGCTAGATTTGAGAATTTAATTCATAATTGGTATATTGTTCTCGTTTCGTTTGTAGTAAACTAGGGATCGTGCATCTCTAGGGTAGCATGAACATAGGTTAAGTGGTCCGATCTTTCGCGTGCGTTGCTTCCACTAATCTATTTTTCTAGGAATTAACGCTGCTAGTGTTAGGTTGTGCACTAGTTAGGTTTAGTCGAAGAGCTTATTTCCATTAAATATTCGGTAAGGAAAAATTTGGTTAACAGATCTTGTTGTTAGCTAGGGTTGATAATTCATTAGCAATTTAAAGAAGAAATTGAAATTAGTTAATTCTAGATTTAAAATTAAATTGAGGAAAAACTGAATTTCTCTCATTTTATTTAATATTTATTTATTGCAAAAAGTGAATGGGGGAAGGAGGAGAGGAGATATTTATAATAAGGAAGAAAGAAAGTTAACCGTCATATCAAAATAGATCTAAGGGCTCGAAATCAAACCCTAGGTACAAAAGCCGAGAGAACAAACAGACGGAACAGGCCAAGGGATGGGTGCAAGGTTCGACACACGTCTATATGAATTCAGGTCGGATATATTTGACTGGACGAGCAAGTTGATGAAATTTGTTCTTATTATCAAACAAGTCTACTGAGCTCGGAGATCTATAACTCGTTTGATAATGCAATGATGTTGCAAATGCATTGCAATTTTTTTAGAGATTTTATATAAACTATCAATTTGTTTTT